AATAAAGCCTCCCAGCCACTGCTATATGACTCCAGAGTCCAAACTATAAAACATGTACGGGTATGTGCTTAGAATAAAGTTTTATATTAGCATGTCTTTTACCTACATATTTATTTATGTATTTATTTCAAAAGCCACACACTCATGAAGATGTTTAATACTCAGATTTCAGCCTTAAGCATTCACATTTATCACAAGCACAGGCAACAGCAAAGAAAGTGCCACATTGTTATTCTTCTTTTGTGGCCTAAAACAAAGGCTTAATAGACAGGTTACAGTACATATTATTTTTTTTATTATTATTATTATTATTATTATTATTATTATATTCCTCTTTCCTCCACACAACACTGGGACACCTGCCCAGGTTGTTATTGCTATTTATTACACAGCTGATATGCTCTCTGTCCCTCTCTCTTTTATACACCTGACTGATTTGCTCAGTCACCACCATTGACAGTATGTCACCACCTGCAGTGCACACACACACACACACACACACACACACACACACACACACACTCTAGGCTACTACACGCACACTCGCTCTCTTTCTCTCTCTCTCTCTCTCTCTCTCTCTCTCTCTCACACACACACACACACACACACACACAGTACTGCACACACAGTCGCTCTGTCTAGGTGAGTGTCTGACATCCACATATGATTGCATACAGTCACAGACAATGCAGCAGGTGAAGCATAAACGTGATGCATTGGGTTCAGTAGCTGAATGACAGAAGCAGTCACTACGTTGCCGGAGTTCACTCGTTGTCATTGACGACGCTATGTTACGTCCGACTAGCTTGCTTGTTGTTAAGCTTAGGGTGCTTGTATTTACATGTTTATGGTGGTTTAATTTCACAACAGTGACAAACAATGCGGAGTGTAAACACTCGTTACCTGGCCGTCACCAATGGGTCCGCGCTGCTCCGCGGAGTCTGCGCAGTGGGTGGCTGGCAAAGTAATGACCCCTGGACTTGGAAACAGGAAACACAGGTGTTACAATTAATTAGGTTATTAGGAACACCTTTTCCCAAGAGTTACACAGATTTTATAGAAAGACCCAAAACTCAACATTCAAAGCTGGTAGAAATGACTTGTTATCGTTATTGGTTCTTTGGTGAGGATATGCAGCAGAAACCTGTACTTTAATGGATGTTTGTATTTGTGTAGGTGCTCCAGTTCATGGGCACAGGAAGACTTACACACAGCAATACAACTGTAGCCATTTCAGCTGGGCATTTCAAAAAAGTATCAACAAATGGCAACAATATAGCAAAATGAAGGCTGACAAGGTTCATATTGATAGCTGCATTTAGTTGTCCATTGTGTAATGATTCATTGAAAGAAAATAGTGTTGGTGTGTTGTTTGATGGAAATATCTGCTCTTGTTGCATGTTTTTGTTGTTGTGCGAGTGTGTGAGTGTATTTTGCAAACCAAATGTGTCATACTGGCCATTGACTTGAAAATGTGACTTCTGAATGGACAAAATACGTTGAAGCAAACTGTAACTGAGAATTGATGCCGTGGGCCTAATATGTCAAAACTGAAATATAAAATTAGGAAAAGACACACTAATTTCTTTTGCTGACTTTTGGAAACTTGTTTAAAACTTGAGCAGCTTTATAGAAATGAACCTTGCGTATTGCTGTATGGTTTACTGTTATTACCTGCTATCATTATTTGTCCCTCCATAGAGAGCGAGGACTGAACACTTTCCAGTTCCGTCCCCACTGTGGCGAGGCCGGCTCCATCACCCACCTGGTTACCGCCTTCCTCACCGCTGACAACATCTCCCATGGACTCAATCTCAAGAAGGTGCAGTCCTGGATTCAAACTTGATACTCAGTGTCTTTTTCAGATACCTCAAGGTGCTGAAAGATATGTTGTAAACATATAATGATCATCCCTATAGTTTTATGAATGCTGACACTTTATTATTGTTTATTAAAAGCTTATTATTGTTTCAACTCCTCCCCAGAGTCCAGTGTTGCAGTACCTGTACTACCTGGCCCAGGTCCCGATCGCCATGTCCCCACTGAGCAACAACAGCCTGTTCCTGGAGTACTCTAAGAACCCTCTACGAGAGTTTCTGCAGAAGGGCCTGTGTGTGTCGCTGTCCACTGATGACCCCATGCAGTTCCACTACACCAAGGTCAGAACCACAGAATTCCACAAGAATGGAAATTACAATTTATTTTCCTCACTATCAAAATGTTGGTGACGCAGTGCACAAGCACTCTGGTCCCAAGCCGGTAGGGCATCTGTAAAAAGCCTGAGAAGCTGCTCCCAGTTGAGCATCTGGAACCTGAGAAATTCAAATATTTTTGCTCGGTAAATGACTAATAAATAGCTGCCAGTTATTTTTCTGCCAATCAACTGTACTCCACACTACGATGGTTGAATATTGTCCACATGTGTGCTGAACTGTGGGATCGCACGGATCGTGGATCAAATATGTTCCATTACACCACTGTCCAATTTTAAAGTGAAACACATTGTACACTTGCTCCTAAAATTAACATTATCTCAAAAAACATCTTTGTGAACAATGAATCACAAATGTTCCATTGAACCCTTTCAGGAGGCCTTGATGGAGGAGTATGCCATTGCAGCCCAGTTGTGGAAGCTGAGCACCTGCGATCTGTGTGAGATAGCCAGAAACAGTGTGCTGCAGAGCGGACTGTCACATCAGGTAAAGTCCAACTCTTTTGCCCAACTGGCTTTGTTAGGGCTGGAAGAAATTCACAAGGACAGAGAAAAAGATACTGTCTTTACATATTTTCCCATCACCCTTCTGACAATACCAGTTTTAAAAAACTTTGCCCTACTTAACGTCAGTGCACAAAACCTTTCCCCAACTGTGCAAATTACTGGTTAAAGAAGAATCCCAGCCTCAGTTAAGTCCATAAAATCGAGCCTCCATCCCTTCAACTGTGTCCAGGGAGGTCACTTTAATAAAGGGAACAGTTTATGAAACCTTGTGCCGAGGCTCATTTTGTGTCCTAATTACTGAAAATGATTCAGTCACACAATAAGCTGAACAAGTAGTTGGAGAGCTTGTCCATAAAGAGAAAGGTCAACAATTCAACAACACAATTTTTACCATCAGCCATATCCTACGTTGGGGGTCACTGAACCCCTATCTGAAAAAGAGCGACATACTGAAAAGATGATCACATCTGCAATATCTGCTCAACATTTTTTTTTCTTTTATCTTTTCACCCACAGGAAAAGAAACACTTCATCGGTTCCAACTACCGACAGGATGGACCGGAGGGCAATGACATTCGGCGGACAAACGTGGCACAGATCCGCATGGCTTACCGCCACGAGACCCTGTGCAATGAGCTCAGTTTTCTTGTGGACGCAGTGAAGGCAGATGTTAGCACTAGCACAACTGAGTGATTGACCACAGCAGCACAAACTGTGCCTGAATATATCCTCAGAGATGAAGGGGCATAGGTTAGACGGCACATGCATGCATTTTTATTTTTTTTCCTGACCCAGATTTTAAAAAAAAAGGAGGTGCTTATCATTTTATGTTAATCTGGGTGCAGGAATCTGGCCTACTTGTTGTAGCATTATAGACTTGTATGACTGTACTCTGCTGTATGCTGTATGTATGAACTCGCCATTCACTGTGTGCCTAATTTCCCAGAGATAGAGGTTTATTTTCTTTTAAAGTGTGCATGTGAGTCTACATATATGAAAGGGCATTAGCCACAAAGCCCAATTTAGAATTTACACACTCAGAGGCAGAATATAAAATGATTTACACTTAAAAAATGGTTTCTTACATTTGTAAAGTAGGTGCTGCTTGGTGATTTGTTTTTATGTCACTTGCAAATATGCATGTTACAAGGGATTTTATGTGGACTAATAGGTCTGAAATGAAGTTGAAAAAAGGGGGGAAAAATACAATTTTACTGCTACGGTCAGATTTGCCTCTCTCACACTGAACTGAGTCAATTGCATAACTTTGTGAATGAGAGGCCAGGCAAGTATTCACAAAGACAGGTGCAGGTGTCACTGAGCAGTGTAGTTCTGTGAGAGCTTTGTGGTGATATCAGTATCACAAACCCCAGATCACAACTGGGGAAAGACTAAGATTTATTCCCTTTTTTATGTTTATCATTTTTTGATAAATTTTTCATATGTAAATAAAGGCTGCAGAACAGTCAAAGCTTTTTTGTTTTACTTGTTTTATTTCATATAAATGTCTGAAAATAAGCAGAATTTCTGAAAAGGCCAGTAATACACTTACATACATGGAGATGCCCACTTTAACGTTAGTGAGTTGTTGATAGTCACCTGTTGTCTGCAACGTACAAGAGGAAAGTTTGAACTCCATCGACTAATTTCCCCTTTAAAACTTTTATGATCAGAGTGCTAATTATCAGTTTCATTACAAGTGCTTAGTTCCTACATCAATTAATGATTCCATCATTTCAATATTTAACTGCATCCTTTTAAAACTGAAAGGGTAAAAATGTCACTTTATGAAGGATGTTTGCCAGCAAGCAAAACTACAAAAGACTCTCAAGTGTGTCCATCGTAGAGATGAGCGAGTACACCATTATCTGTACAGGCCTGGAATTGTCTCATGTTTTAGGACAAGGCCACTTTTGCCTTTGATAAATATATTAGGGCATTGTGGCCAAAATGTTGGGAGCATTTTACTGCACAATGACTACTTTAAGTACATTTTGCGATAATACATACCTTCATCATAGTAAAGTTAGTGCTTAAATAATGGACCTGAATACTTCCTTCACCTCTGGTTAGCACACACACAGCCTGACTGCACCTGTATGTTACCAGTCAAAACTTCCCTGTTAATAAAGGTGGGGCTGTTCTTGTAATTCGACCATTTCTGCTAATACCTTCTTCCTACACTGACATCCCTTTGGTGGACCGATCAACCGGTTTTAAATCAATTCAAGAGAAACTGGGAAGTGATTTCAATCTTCTTTCAATCCAACATGACACAAAGTCATAGTGCAAAAAGTGAGTTTATCTTTATTAAGGATAATACAGCAAGGATCCATTCATTTTTAATACATCTACTTCCATTTGGTAAATTTACATACAATGTGCATATGTAGGATCAGTTTCTTCAAAGTAAGCTAGAATGAAAAGTGACCTTGGAATTATATGGAACATTTTCTCATTTAAATATCATTTATTATTTAATAATAACAATAATAAAACTTTGTTTTATAAATTCTGAATGAACCATGCAGTAATAAAGTTTCCTACTGCAGCACATGTGTGGTTGTGCCCGGTCTCAACTGCTGTCAGAGGGTTACAGTGTCAGACAATATTTTCCACCAGAGATAAAATCATCTGTTGCTGTAGTGCACAAACACAGAGAAAGCTACAGTGAGGTTTCAAAGTGAGATTTTTCTGTATCAGCAACCAAAACGTATTAATTAATTTTGGTCGAATTTAAATGAATGTTTATGGTATATTAAATAAACATAAATCAAATATATCTTCAGGAAATTAACATGTTCAGTTAAACTATCTAAATGTAAATGAAATGTAAAACTGATTAACTTGCTGAATGTCAGAAATACAAAATGACTAGCAATAAACTAGCATTGTATATCGTTATAACTTCAATAACTTTAAACTGTAAAATAGATATTTATCACTAATGTTCATTACATGTTCACATTGTATGAAATACTTCAGCATAGATCCTCATAATTCACAACCAGACAACTAAACGTGCTGCCTGTGATTTATGTGATCTGGAAACAAGACCAGAAATACTTTTCTTCTGGTCTTATTTAACTCTAAAAGATTTCGTTTTTAACTGAAAAGCTGCCTATCTCAATAAATCAGTTATCTGTAGTCGTAGGCCAGACGAAGCGGAGCACAGCAAAGACAGGACTGGTCGTTTTGGTGTGTGTGTGTGTTTAAACTACAGTACTTCTCAATAAAATTATGGTAAATTAAAAAAAATATATATATAAGTAAAAAGATAAGAACAGCATTGATGACACAAAGTGGTTATTTCCAACAGTGAAAAAAACACACCACGGCAAGCAAAGTCAATAAAATCATATAAAACTATTTAGTCCTGTACACCCAAAAGACACTCATTGACAATGTCAGTTTCTGATATCACATAACACAGCTCATAGGGCATGTCATGTGGGATATAAACATGCAGGGTTATATTGCACAGACTACAGAACAGCTTTACAGGTGGAAAATACATTTGGTTCTACAGTTTGACCAGAACCTCTGTCTTAGATTTGCACTTGAAGCACAAGGAAATAAGCTCATTCACCCTTCTGCCAGAGAATTATATGAAAAGGTTGCTAACACTCTTGTACCCGTCTTTTAAATAGAGGTCTACAGCCAGCAACATGTTAGCTTAGCGAAAAGACCATAAACAGCTAGCCTTGCTCTGTTCAAACATAACAATATCCACTGGCCAGCACCTCTGAAGCTCACAAATTAACACGTTATCTGTTTTGGTGCTGGTTAAACAAACGAGAAATAACGTGTTAATTAGTGAGTCTTTGTGCTAAGCTAAGCTAACTGGCTGTAGCCTTACATTTCACAAACGGACATGCAAGTGGCATAGATCTTATCTCATATAAGCCCAAATAGTGAATAAAGGGAATTTCTCAAAATGTTGAACTATTCCTTTAAACTTTACTATTGTGAGTTATGAGCCTTAACAACCCTCTCTGGATACGAGGGCTCACCTCCTTTGTCTCAGCTCTCATTATATTAAAATGAAAGGCAACTTGAGGGACCAGTGTGTAGGATTTAGTGGCATCTAGTGGTGAAGTTGCAACCATGTGACTACAGGTCAGCCTTCCAAATGTGTAGGAGAAACTACGGAGGCTGGGAAACTCACAAAAAAACAGCCTATCTAATGGGGCTGACACCGTCTGGTCGATTGGTCGGTTGATGTATGATATATTTGTCCGACCTAGTTCTCATTGGTCGAACAATCGCTGATGTTACTTTCATAAGGAGAAAAGCATTTCTTAATTGATTGTTTTCGGGAGCAGGACAGACATAAGCAGATCTGACGTATTTCATTTATATATTTATTATACGGCCGTTGGACAACAAGCCTAGTGATTCTCAGACAACTCCTCAGTTACCTCCGTAGTCCGTCCAGCACGCTGCATCCTCTGCGTTTAAGATGTCAGCATAGAGCTTACTTGTTGGCGTGTGATGCAGGGGCGTGTGTGCTTCAATTCTGGATATTCTGTTCCATTTCTGTCAGTAGATCCTCCTAAATGTTACACACTGGACGTTGGATAAGGATTCCTATTATAAAGTGCCTAGTTAATCCCAAACAGCTCTTCTTCTTCCATGTTGGTTACATTAACCCTTAATTACTGTAAGACCTGTACTCTTGGTTATGGTGTTAAATGAATAGATTATTATTTAGCATATTACATATACTGACTTTTCACTTCAAACAACGCATTCCCATTCCCATAAAGCACCGTATCTACAACACTTGGGTTACAAAGAGCATCCTAGGATGTTTAGGACTTACAGTAAAAGAAACAAGGTTTCATTTTCTGACCCTGTCACTAAGAACATAAGGAGAAGGAAACCCTGCTGGTTTCTTCTGCCTTGTTAGCTTTTCAGGAAAAAAGTGACATTTTGTGTTTCAACATGTAAGGTCTACTTAGTACGGGTCAGTTTCCCATTTCATCTAATTGGCTCAGTGTGCTGTGTGTGTTAAGGCCTGTGTGGGTGGCCTGCCTCATCAGCCAAGTTGAGGATGTAGCCAGCTATGTCGTCCTCTGTGGGGAAATCAGACATTACCCACGATTCATTGGCAGCAGTGACCTGCAGGCGACATATCGGACAGTTTCGGCTCTGCCCACTCCTGCAGAGACAGGAGTGTGTGATAATTACTGTTAGCATCCATTCATATCAGTGTGTTTAAACCTTTTCTGTGACAAGAAGGATTATTGAAACGAATTCTAGCTTGGTCCATCATCTTACCATTTATCAATGCACTTCTGACAGAAGCTGTGAGCGCAGGGCAGGATAAGGTCGGCCTTTCCGTCCATGCAGATACAGCACTCCTCCTCATCAGTCAGCTGCTTCACTCTGCACGGGCACACACACAGAAATGAGGGTTGACTTGTTTTCGGAGGAGGGAGGCACTGCTTCTGCCTTTGTGTAGCCGGTCAAATAATCCACATTTTCAAACATCTGTACAGGCATATTCCATAAGTATTTATTCAGACACCATCAGCTTGTCCATCTACATTATAGGCAGCGGCCTACACGCACCTACATCAATTATTAACTTGCATACAAACAAACAAACAAACAGCTCAATGTTACGCTGCCTAGCGGTCAAAAAACTGCTTCCTGCCAAAAGGGAATTACAGCAAGGGAGCACACATACCATTTCACACACACACACACACACACACACACACACACACACACACACACACACACACACACATACTAATGAACCCAATACAAAAATGTGCTCCAACACTGATGCCATGCAATCAAAGGATTTGCCTGAGAAAAATATCTTTCAGTGGTATAAAATGAAAATTTTAAAATGATCCCCTCATCATCCCTGAGCTCCTCCTGTAGATGTGAATTCATCCAGGGGGATAAACAGTCATTCTCATGCAAAATAACTTAAAAAATCCAGCATTTAAGCAGCTTGAGGGACATTTAACAATCCTTTTTCTTGTACTGACACCTGTGGTGTGTAGCAACAAAACTTCAAACAGCATAGATTAGATAGAGAGGGCTGAATCTGAAAACACAGCAATGACATATTACCACCCATATAAAGTTGTTATGGAGAATATGTTTTCTAGTTACAAATCCAGCAACATTATCATTTATATGGAGTTGATATAAACAAACACTCCACTATGTTCACCAGCTAGACGCTAACTTTGTTTATCTGCTAATTTTGTTTATCTGCTAATTTTGCTAAGTAGGTAGTGTGCAGTCAGTCAATTGTGGCTGTAAACATTAAAAAATTAAAACAGGCTACAAAGTTTAAGAATTATCTTCAGGTTTGTCACTGTGAATGGCCCATTTCACATTACACATGGTCATTTGATCAATAAAAATACTGACTAGTTCAGCTCTATTTGGAATCATTATGACGTTAGTTTTTTCCTTTTTGCCTTTTAGGAGACCTACATTGGTATTTTAAATGTATTAAGACAGGCATTCAACACCACATTTAAGGCCTGGTATGAACACAAAATGTCAAAAAAACTGTGACTTTCCAATTAAAAGTATTCCTAAATTTAAAAACTACTCATAGGGTCTTCTATGTTCAGTGTCTGAAGGACTACTTCATGTGCACCTACCTGCCCATCCACATGCTGGCCTGGCAGGAGTCTGTAGAGGGGAGCTGGGCAGATGGGCCCTCGGTGGCGCCCTCTGCAGACAGCACCTCAGCAGCCTGGCTGGTGATGTCACGGTACAGCTGGATGAACTGGTACAGGTTCATGATGCGTGATGCTTCCATCATGCCACTCTCCTTGTTGATCTGGGAGGGGGCAAAGGTAATCACATGAGTCATACGACACACACGGTATAGTATGCTGTTCACATGTAGTCACGAGTCAACACTGATCTTAAATAGTTGTGCTTAACCAGTGTAGGTTTAAGTGTTCAGTTCAATCTTTAAATCTGGTGATATATCTATAATTCAAATTTAATTGCACAATAACTCAAGCACAATAGAGTATGGGTGGAATACTGAGGGAACTATATGCAATATTTCTGCCTGCAATAACTTAATTCTTTCAATAATTTTAATTGAAAAGAAAATATTTAATAGGGGAAACAACATCAAAGGCATGGACAGGTGCCTATCTTGGCATGTGATGTGTGTGCAAAAGGTTCTTTGGTCTCACCTTGGTACAGAGGACCCTGACTGCCACCTTCCACAGGGCTGTGGCATCGGATCCTGGCTGCACCTCAAACAGCAGGTGCTTCTGCTGTCCAGCAGCGAGCCTGGCAGTACTGAGAGAGATCCAGCAGAGGAGAGAGGGAATGTTCAACTCAAGAAAGCATTGTTTTTACGGTACAGTATATGAACAGTTACACATGCAAACAAACACGCACAAGTAATGTCCCATTTTGTAAACACGGTTAGGTTTAGCTGGGAGTTGTTCCTAAATATGAAGTGTATTTCTGGACACGCTGAATGACGGCAGAAATGTGTTGTTTATTGTGTGAACTCTGCAGTTTAAGTGCTGTTCACTCACCCACGATTCTCTGCTGCGAACTGGGCTTTATAGCATCAACACAGAATCGTCACAAAATGAAGATGTTAAACCTGTGCTAATTGGCATTGGACGTAATGATATACTGCATAACCACTTACATCATGCTGCACATAAGTGTAGTTTGACTTATACCAACGATATCTACACTTTTAGATAAATAAAAATGTCGATACTAATACTGTGTCGACTCATACAATCATTCTGACTTTCTTTTGTCACAACTGAGAATACTTCTCTCTCTCAGTTACTATCTCTGAGAGCTAGTGAACTAAAGTTTTAATTGGCAGAAGCAGGTCCTAAAATGCCTGGGGACTAAGAGGGGCCAAATGGCGATGGTGGAATCTTAGTGAAGCTAGCTGTGCAGAGTTTAGGTCTCAACCAGAATAGTCTATCCTGGGAGCCAAAAAAGGAAAATCATTTAAAAGTCCATCACATTCAGGTATTTTTTTATGAGGTAGCTCAGTACTGTCCTCGCAGTCATTTCCTTGAAACAGTTTTGTTAATTTCACTGTCCCTCCGCTACATTAAACAACTGGAAAACAGCTGCATGTTTGCAGAATTCAAAATCTGTTATTCCCCATGGACAGTTCTTTGTCCTGCTGAACAGCTATGTACATTATGTGTCCAGAACAGACCGTGACTTACACGTCGTTAAGTTCAGCCACTCTCGCCAGAAACTCCTCGTAGGTTAGGTAGCCGCTGTCACGTACCAGTCCAGCGTGTTTCACCAGCTTCTCAGGCAGATGGTTCATCACCGCCTGACCTGAGAGCTGCTGGCCCATCCTGGCAGCAGCAGCACTTACAAAACAGCACTGGCAGAAGGCTCATTCAGTTCTGCAGAGCCTGGTGGGAAATAAACCGTTAAAGTTTATTCTTTCTCTGGGACTATCTAGTCTTTTCTCATTTATTGTTGAGGTCAGCAGTGACTGACTGGTCTGGGACCAGGCTAGGAACAATGTGGAGCAGGGGTCAGAAGCCTCTATTATCAAAAGAGGCATTTTTGGCCAAAAAAAAAAAAAAAAAAAATGTAATAAAAACATATTTGAGCCCTATAATGCTTATTTCTCACCTCATATGAAATATACTGGCAAGCCAGCAGCATTTGTGGTGAAAGCAAACAAATATGTCTCTATTTCCCTCAGGGACTTTTCTTTTATGGATTTGGAATCCATAGCAAAACTATCTAGGGACACTCAAGATTAGTAGCCATTGAGGTTTGGCAAAATATAGAGGAAAAGGAAACAGGTTAGGATGTTGGAAAATGTTTAGTTTTTTCATGCAACAATAATAAATGAAAAATGTGAAAAATAACTAATTAATTGCGCCTCTGCAGCTCAGGTTGCCTACACCTGATCTACAGCATAAACCTGACTGCTCTCTCATCAGAAGCTGTGGTTTAGTCTAAACCATGTTGCTATGTCTTGCAGAAAAGCCACTAAAGGTCATAAAGGGCCAATGAACAGCAAGCATGAGATACAGTATTTTATTAACAATGAGAAGTGTTTATGGTTTCAGAGATTTCAAACTAAAATGACAACATAATACTAATTAACACATTTGCTGACTTCAGTTCGCATTTAATTATCTCATAATGGAAAACACATTTTACAATTATTTCTTTCACCATGAAGATAGAAATGAATGAACTTACATTACACTACAAAGACCAATTATGTTGCCAAGTGACCAGTGACACGATAATACACCGTAGACACACCCACATGTGATTGTTAAACAATAAACATCTCCTAAAACCACGGGCAGTGATGTGCTACTGTAGCACTGTCACTCTTCAAGGAGGGTTTTGTTCTTTGAGATCTTGAAAACTGGCTACAGGGATTTTCTACCACTGAGACAACAGAGCATTAGTGAGGTCCAACACTAGTCTGCAGTTCTTCCCAAAGGTGTGGGATGGAGCTGAGATCAGGTCTCTGATCAGTGAAGTTCTTCCACATCAAACTGTGTTGTGTGTGTCTGTGTTACTGAGCTTTGTGTACTGAGCATTATCATGTTGGAACAATAGACACCTGTTATTTTTACAGAACAATCAGATTGAAATTAGGCAACAGCAGCCGTTGAACTGAACCCATGCTAAACTGAGATAGCTAATGAAGTGCTGACTAAAGTGAAAGAGCCTTTAACAACCACATTCACGTACAGACAAACCCTGTCACATCTGCTGACGTTAACCACAGTGATACTTCCTGTAGCAGCTGACCTTTCACCCTGAACAACATTTCTATAACAACAGAAGGATCTCAGTGAAAACCAACCATGGCACGATTTATAATGTAACCTCAGCTGAACAACAAAGTACCAAACAGGAACTGCACCTTAACTCAATCAGCTAAATCAGCATTATGTAATAAGTAATAATGTCCGAATGATAAATGATAATGAACGCCACCGTGAACAGCAGCACTATTCTCGTTTGGAAAACATTTCAAGTGTTCGTTAAAGACGCCATTATTTTAGAGATAACCCATTAATGAAGCTCAGTTCAAACATTATTTACTAATCTTAGCAACAGCGCAGTACTCCTGTGCAGCAGTCTGCTAACAAGGAGCAACATTACTTTGCATTTAATTAACATCAACCATTAAAGAAACACGAGGTCGGTGAAAACGACCAGAACCTCTTAAAAGATAAGAAAAGGACATATATGATCCTCTAGCGTCATATGAGAGAAACAAGCTCGGTTTCTTACCAATAACTCAACATTAGAGGCAGTTAGCGTCCAAACTAGCACCACTAGCTTCTCTCTCTCTTCTGTTTGTGTTGACACAACCCAGGCGCCGATTGATGACGCCGCAGTGCGTCTTTCGGTTTCACTCGAACGTCATTGATGGTGGACAAAGGTCTGAATTCACTTGGCTGAAGTTTTGTAAATATTTGAAGAAATATTGAGTTGATTTTGTTGACAGCGTGCTCTGACATTGTTGCTTACTTTGAGTGTAATCCGAAGTGAACATGTAAACTACTTCCAAACGAAACACAAAGTCTCTGCAGCACTTTTTAGTCACCTGTTTTTTTTTATTGTTATTATTTTTAAACTTTCTTTTAAACATTTTTTTTGTTATTATTGTATTTTTTTGTCACTTTATGTTTATTTGGTATTTTCATGAGTACTCTTTTGTTAATGTCTGATTGTTAATTTTGTTCCCAAACAGAATCAAAGTGTTGCATATTGAACTTTCTAAAACAAGATTGTAGAAATCTATCTTTTTATAATAAAGATATGATAGGATGGATAGGATACCAGTATGGCCACCTTAGTTTAGATTTTTATTAGATTAAATTTGCTAAATTAAGCCAAATTTATACCTAAAAGTTAAGTACAAGCTGCTCCGTTGTTAAGAGTAACAAGCAGTCAAGACTTTATCTGAGCTAATGATTATAATATTTTATAACTCGGTCATTAAACAATGACTTTATTCCAGACAAACTGATTAACATTTTTTTATCCAACCAACTAATCTAAGATCCATCAACAGACTCAAGACACAGGAATATACAGTTTAATGTTTCTCACTATTTAGATTTAGACTTTTCTTCACGTCATAATACTGACTGGAGAGCATAGTTAAACTGCACTATGATGATGATGGGAGAGTGATTCAAAATAGATATAGCTGCAGGAGATCAGAGAGGTAGCAGGTGGTAAAAAAACAAACAAAAAACAAGAGGAGGTAGATAATATAATGAGAAGAGAAATAGGATGAGGGGGAAATATTTGACTGGAAGGTAGGAGAGCAGAACAGGCCACCTAGGGATGCACATAAGGAGGATAATAAGATTCAAGAGGAAGACATCCAAGAATAAAGGAGAAAGACACTCAGAAATGTGTATGGACAGAAATGTGATAGAAAATAAGGCTCAGGATGTGAAAAAAACAGATTAACTTCTGATGCATCCCAATGAAATGTCAGTGTAACAGAGTCAGAGAATGTGGGTGAACTTAGTTCTCTGGCAGAAAGTCAATTTTTAAACCCCAAAACTCATTTTGGGTTTGGCTCTATCTGCAGCCAGGCCATCTGTTTTATACTGGCACCTGAAGAGGACTCATACAGAGAAGAGGCTGCAGCACAAATGACATCTGTAACTCTCTGAGACCTGAGGAGGAGAGGGACCCAACCTGCCCAGATTCAGATGCTAAAAAAACAATACTGTTATTTCTGCTTACACATCTGTTGCATGTCTGTCCATCCTGGAAGAGTAATCTATCTATTGTTCTTTATTTTTTTCATTAAAGGAGGAAGGGAGCTGGAGGGAGCTTTCTTTATCCTAAAATATAAATATCACTGTTCGCTTTTGCCAGTTAAGTACGATTTACAAAATATATTATTATTATTATTATTATATTATATAACTGCTGCCATGAAATGTAATAATGTAAAGATATAATATGTATTTCATACTTGATTAAAAATAGAGTTACAGATTACAGTTTCATTTAACTGATTATTGACATCATTAATTTCAATTTAAAACTTAATTTGAGGTTATGTATTGATATGTAATTGCTGTCAAACATGTAATCACTTGTATAAGTAGAAGAAGAAGAAGAAGAATTAATAGCTTATTCAATATAACTTAATCTAAATTAGGGTAAATTTAGTTTAACTTTTATTTGCTGTCATAAGATGTAATATGTTTCTCTAATTGGATTAAATTAATTAATTAGAGTTCTAAATTAATAGGAAAATCATATTATTACATTAACTGCTAATTATTACTTTATACAAGCTGTCAAATAGTTTAACTGATTCTGTAACATTGACCTACACAGCTGTAAGTTAGAATATTCAACTAACATTAACAATAGCCTGGTACTGACCATCAAGTACTTTAAAACCCTTACAAAATAAATATTTGCACAATTTATATGAGGTTTATGTTCCACTGCAAGTAATTGTTAGAGCGCTCCCTCCCAATTGTTGATTAATAAGGGTCTCCTTGTGTATCAACCAGCAGATGGCAGGAAAGGACACCAAACAAACATTATCTAAAGCTGAAGTCAGAGCCATGGATGTGTTAAGGCAGATTAAGGTTCTTGTAATATATTCATGTTCAGAGCCCATATTAATTCTGTATATTAAAAAAAAAAAAAAAAAACAGAATAAAAAGGAGAGCTCCCTGCAGTAAGGTTTTGAAAATGATGACAAATAATGTGTTGTTACAGATAATATATATAGATAAGATTAATGATAAAAAAAAACAAAAGACAGAAAGATTTTAATGGGAAGATATTTCAAATACACTCTTTAAAGAATCACAATATGTTGATTGTTACAAACTTTACGAACTGGCTGTACTGATTCTTCAACAAAATCCATGCCTCATATTAAAGGACATTAAAGTACTTTTTTTTTTTTTTTAGCATATTCTCACATTTTCAGATGGGAGATGCAATTATTATTACTTTTATTATTTTATTATTTTATTATTGCCAGCTTGTTCTGATAGGTGCTTACCAAGTCCTGGCAGAATTACACATCAGGACAGTCTAATCAGCTTCCTTGATTTTTTTGCTTTCATATTTCTTTTGGATTGTGTTTAAGTTTTGACAGGAATCACCTCTTTAATGCTGCACTGAACTCCTCCTCATTAATTTTCAGACTTAGAAACACTGTACAAAAGGCAGCTATCGATTGATTGAGCTCTCATTCTATTATTCCATTATACAAAAAAATGTGGGCAGCTATTCAAGACATCTGTAACCAGGCTATAAAAATGTCTGTCTGAACAAAAAAGGCAGGAGATTTACAAGAGTAAAGTTCCCCATTTTGAAGCTTAGATTCTGTGGAATGGCCCTTTGGGTGCTATGACAAAAGAAAACAAGAAAGCAGTCAAATGTGAACAATTTTATATACAGACTTTTAGTTTAGGAAAATGAACATGAGTATAAAGGCTCCGTATTGTACAGGTTGGTCATTTCAATACAGCACATTGAAAACATACAGTAAATATACAGTGCATACAGTAGATCTCTGAACAACCCAAGAAAATATGGATTGCTTTGAATCCCAGAAACACATATTTCCCAGAAGTATTTCGAAATGAACTTATAGCAATAGCATCCAAAATGCACATCTGTACATACAGATGATAATTTTAAAAACTTCCTCTGTTACTTTTTGAACTGGATTATAGGTTGTATGGTCCATAAACTGATCGTCCTTATGATGAGCCATTCTTTCTGACTGGCAGTGACGACTATTCGTACGCACTCGATGTCAAAGCCGATCTTGTGGTCCACATTGTTAACCTCGATGCTTCCGCCTTTAAACTCTCCTAATGTGATGTAGGATGAACACTGCCTTCCCTGTTTAGTTTCCACAGACTTCTGTCCTACTTCCAGAGCTCCGTGGTGAAGAATGTCATTTTGTCTGTCCTCTGTGCCTGTCACAATTTTAATTCTGCTGATTTTAATTGATTTATTAAAGATTATGACAAAGAAATCTCCAGTGCACGGAGGCTTCCCCCAGAAATATTCATCAACAATACTGCTGTAAGCCTTGGTGGCATCATAGTTCTCAAAGACATTGATGTTTGTGTAAAGGCTGGCAGGAGGGTTGTCAGGAATGTCTATGGAGTCTTCCTCAAAGTCGTCGTCCTTCAGTTTATTCTCTGCTCCTTTGTAGGAAGAGTAGTAGCCCATGTGCTGGAACAGAGAGGGCTTGAAGCGGATCACGTCCTTCTGGGCGAGCAGACCTCTGAAGTGGATGAGGAGCCAGTCGCAGGGCATTTCCTGGTAGAACATGAGGAGGAAATGAGCCAGACGTGGCAGGTCTTTGGAGTGGTAAAGCTTCCCGATGTAGCCCAGCTTGGAAAACTCCAGCATCACCCAGTAGGAACCATCTCTGGAGGTGATCACCTTCTTCAGCGCCGTCAGAAAGTTCCTGGAGCAGCGCACGTCGTCCTCTAACATCATGTAGAAATGAGAGAGGTTTGTGCAGAAGTTGAGGAGGAAAGCGTAGTCCACGTTCTGCTTAGAGCGGAAACGGACCCGGTCCTCTGGGTCGTTGTAGTTCCTTTTTAAGCCGTCCAAAGATGGATAGTACTCCTCTGGGGCCTGGATCACCAGGAGGCGTCCCGCTATGATGTGGTGAGCAAACTTCCTGGTGATTTCCTGCACCAGGTTCTCACACCAGACCAGGTCAAAGTCTGCCAGGTGGACCACAACCACAATCTCTTTCAGTTCCTCGTAACTGGACTGATCAAAGATGGATTTGATCGTCTCTAGTAGGTAATTCCCCTTTTTCCTCTTGACAGATGACAAGCCAATGGTGAGATATTCTGTGAACAGAAATCACTTTAGTCACTTCGTTATGAAACAAAAGCTTAAAATATTTCTCGTTGCTGGTGATTAAACCTCAAAAACTAATATTTTTACTCATAGTCTGAGCTTGGTAGAAATACCTACTTTTGCGTGGCACAGGGATTCCCGCAAGGTAGCGATACGTCACATTAATAGTCCCAGAGAAATTAGATAGATCTCTAAATGTGTGGACGTATCTTTCAGAGTTTGCAGGATGCATCAGTGTCTCTCCCAGCTGTCTTTTTTCAGCCTCCTAAAAGTACAAAGGCAAGAAGACATTGAGTTAAAGCAAAAAAGAGTAGTAATTGGATAAAAGGATACAGAGAACATTGTCACAATTGAATCTTACCAGCACATATCCATCATCCATATAAAGGTTGAAAAAGAGCAGAAAGGTGATGAGGAAGCCGAGGAAGGGGAACATGGATCGTTTCCTGAAGCACCTCATCTTGTCCACGGACTTCCACATTAGCCTCAAGATCACGCCTTTCACTGCAAGAAGTCAAAGATGAAACAGAAATTTGGTCATCAAAAGCGAATAAAGATGTGTGAGAGTGTACAGCCATGGCTAGCTACATATTTTTTAATGTAATCCTTGTGGACATTTGGTAATGACATTGATATTAAGGCTTAGGCGAAGGCTTCTGTGAATGGAATAACAAAGAGCTCTTTACCTGGTTTAATCAAAAGGAATGAATCAGGATTGCCTCACTTATCAGAGCAGAACTGATATTGTACTGAAACAAAAAGCGCTTCAAGATGTCATGAAAGTAAAAAACAAATAGATTTTTATGACATTTTATAGCTAAATCATGAATCTAAAAATGGTAACTTAATCATTAAAGTAGCAACAATGGAATTTTCTGGCCATTCAGCAAACTGAAAACATAACATTGATCTTATAAGGTTGTTACGACTAATGTGTCACCTACCAATAACGTTTTTATGCATCAGCAGGCAAAGAGATGAATGTGAGTGCAATACTCACTCTACTTTTATCTATTTAGCTCTTCAGTGGCTAAATCCACTATGCTCACCAGCTACTCACTAACTTTGTCTGTCGTCTAGTAGCGGTCAGTGCGTTTATCAGAGCTCTTTTCTCAGAAACAGGGTTGAAGAGAGTCCTCGGCCATAAAACCAAAACAATGAGCTGAAAGATACTAAACGATCCACGGAGCTGAGAGGAACTGGAATGATAATTCCTTGTCTGTCACTATGAGCAATTTCTGTCACATTACACACTTACTTGATCTATTGTTAAAATTAAAATACTGATCAGTGGAGCTTTAATTAAAATAACCATTAGTTGCAGTCCATCACAAAATCAATCACAAAGCTGGATGGGTATTCATCTTTAATTGGGTTGTGATGAGCTACTCAGTATGACAGATGTGGTCAACGGCAGACTGACAGAGAGATACAGAAGGCTGATTTCAAGGTTTATCATTGGATTAAATTAAATGAATCTAATAATGGCTCATTTTGGTCATTAATCTAACCATTCACAAGGGGAAAAGTCAGTCATCTGTTCAGTTTGTGTGCAGCAGTCACACGAGCCAGATGATGTTTCAAAACTCAGTAAACACCAGTGACATCTCTTGATAGAAAATAAATTCTTCCAGCCCCGTTCAGTGCAATGTTTACTCACAGTGTTGACAATCTTTTAAGTAAAATGAATTACCCTGCTCACTATTTGTCCTATTTGGCACTGATCCAGAAAAAAAAAGTACTGATCCCATGAAACCTTCCCTAATTTGGATGTTGTGTAACGCAAAAAAAAACGCAGCCTTCAATGTGAGGACCCACAAGTTCCCCGGCGACAGGGACAATTTCAGCATAGGCCTGTGCGCCTGCCGCTGGGCCCAATGACTCAATAAACAACTTATCATTCGTTGTGTTATTCATTGCTCGAGTTCCATTTTAGAGGGAAAAATCATCTGCCATCTGCCAGAGAAGTGAGCCATTTTGTGTTTTTGTCATGAAAAAGCTCCACGGTGGCACCTGAGAGATGGCAGCAGCAAGAGTAAGTGGAAACACAATGACAGCTGTGAGTCAATATTATGAAAGTCCTCACAACGATCACCTACACTCACACACACACACACACACACACACACACACACACACACACACACACACACACACACACACACACACACACACACACACACACACACACACACACACAAATTATTTGAGATAGCAGCCTGGAAAATCAGATATTGAGACGACTAAAGAATACCTAACAAGGCAAAAATAACGGCCACACGCTTTTCCTGCGAGAGAAAATACTGCCAAGAAATTAGATTTTGTTTGCTTTCTCTGAGTGAATCTAAACAACAAACAATCCTCCCATAGGTCACGTACATTTATATGGAAATGAAGGTACGTCTATGAATAAATAAGCACCATTTGTTCGGTCTATTTGCTTTTGTTTACAATGCTTCTCTGCCAAGTTGGATTTTTTTTTTCTTCCGCAAATTATCAGCTTGTGTGCCCATTGAGCTCTTTTCTATGACTAAAGTAATTTCAAGATTACAGCCAGTAAAAAAATGACAGACAGGTAGAGGGGGATACCAATGAGATTTAGCATTAAAAAACATTATATGTCCATAGCAGGGTTTATCTTTCCTAACAGTCTCTCCAGGACAGAAAATGAGAGGAGATTTGTCCTGTCCACTAACCTTTTGTTTTGAAAATGTGGACTCGTACGAGTACAAGCAGGCCTCTCTTGGCTTACAGGCAAGTCTTCTGGATGAAAACTACATTAAGTAAAATTAAGTTGAATTGGATGATTTTAACAAGTAATTTCTCAGTCCATTAATATTTCCTACATGTAAGCAGCTTCAACAATTGCTTCAGGACAAATTATATTTAATTCACTGATTAAATTTGGGGCTACTACCAATTGCACATTAAGGCTGCCAGCGGTCACACGGTGTGTTTATACTGCTGCTGAAAGGTTCTTGATTTGTTCTCCTTGCATGTGACAGAAACGTGATTTTTTTTCCTCATCAGTCTGAAGGGCAAAAATCTGAAAAGACGTTTTTCGTTCGACTTGAAATGCAATCAACCCAGTCCCAGTACCATACCTTAACCATAGGGGTTTTGCAGGCATTGTAGAAATCAAGAATTTGAAAGGGGCACAGCGCCTGGGACTTGTGAGAGGTAGATTAAAGAAAGTAATCGTCAAGGAGCCGAATGGTTACAGTGCATACCACATGGACACAAGGTTGCATTCTGTCGCTTAGATAGAAACAGATCCTCCTAAATATTACATACTGAACCTTTAAGCTTCAGGATTGTGACAGACAAGAGATCATTTAGCTGGAATTATGCTTCTCTGGGCTGTGCGTAGATGATTTTACATGGTTGTTCAGAGATGTGAGAGTGATTGTTTCATGTATACTACCATATCATTTTGAACCTGCCTCCCAACAGCATAATAGTCCCAAATAAGGGTCAAGCTCCAAAAACTGTAGACCTTTCACACAATCTCCACAGCCCCAGTTGTTTATAATATTAGTTTCTAATATCCAACCCTAAACCAAGATAATCTTGATAACATCATTAGAGTTATTTTGTAAGACTTTAGAAAGTTCTTTCAGAGCCCTAGGAGACATTATACAACTGTTCTCACGAGATGAGTAGTACTACTCTTGATCGTCACGTGTAAAATTAACGGAGTGGTCCTTTAAAGGCTGCAGAATTAGACATAATACAGGGTTTTACAGGATCATCCAATATAGACTTTTTCAACCCGTTATGATATTTCTGATGCAAGGTTTACATCAGGAAAATGGTCACAATGCAACGGCAACAAGATGTAACAAAGACAGAAACCACAGCTGAACTGTGGTCAAAACAAGAAGGGCAACATCACATGTGTTGGAAAATGTGCTAATGACGTGATTCTGCACTTTCATGGATTTTGTTAAAACACCCCTGTCAGTATGTATTGGAAACATCTTGAAATGAAGATTAACAGCTAAAAAAAAGTCTGATTTGAGCAGTAATTTGTAAAATTGACAGCCTGCAGTCTGATTGAAAGTTAGAGGAGACAAGCTTGTGGCTGGAGGGTTTCAGAGTCAATAACTAGACTGGCTGTGAAAGTCTGATTGTGGAAAATGAATGAGTAATGCTTTAAATTCACCAAACTTCCATCAAGGTGCCCTTCAGCAAGGCACTTAATCCTCATTTGCGTCAGTAGCAGCAACAAATTCTCCACCAGTAAGGAGGCTGTGGTGGTCGTACTGGGAGGCTCCCACTTGGGAATGTGTGTATGAAATGCTGAAGCATCTGCTTTCTCAGCAAATACCTTCCCTGAATAAATTAAGAAATAAAAAAGATGGATAGGAAACTTGTTGCTGCAGAGATAAAGCGCCATGAGACCCCACGGTGATGCATGTATATGACAGCTGGCTCACATCATGGACTCAATGAACTCACATGATTTTAAGTAGTTAATGCATTTAGTCTAGGCTGACAAGTCGTAGGCATGTGGTGACTCATTTGCTCTGTAAAGAAAGAAGGTATGTGAGGTCAACGATTTGAATACTAATTGAGGTGAGAATGCACTGAGCCACATTGGGAGGTGGTTAAACTCATGTGACCATAATCCAGTTTGTATTTTAATGTAAAGAGCCAATGCAAAGACATCAGGCTTTGGCCAAACAACCAACACTTGTAAGTAGGATAAATTAATTGCTGGTTTTGATGTTTTCATGGGATTTGTTGACATTAAGAAAAATATAGTATTGCCTGTCGTATCTTTTAACATATTAAAGCGTGATAACGTATCACTTTATCTGTATTTTGTTTTGCTTTTTTCTGTGTCAACAGCCTTGATTTAAGGTCTTATCTGTGTATCCCCCTGTATACATAAAAGCAGAATGAATGAGTGATGTCCCTTCAAATTTCTTGGAAGTTCAAAGTCTACTGCAACCTGAACAATAATAATGATAATGCCTCTGCAGTTAGATACTTTCAGTACGGTTTTAGAGTTGTGAGATATGCTTGGGAATCTGTGCCAAGGGCTTTTAATGGCTTTTTTTTAAATCCCCTCTAGTTTATCAACTTCACACAGTCTTGTGGAACTCTGTGAATATAATTTAATATACAATGCGCGTCTTAGACACTATATTCAACTATTATTCTCCATCTCCATCCTGCCTCAGAGGGCCTCGGGCAGAGAGCTAATGTGGGTCAAAGCACTGACTACTGAGGAGAGCCCATCCTCATTACAGTCGCCACCACTGGGACTGCAAAAGCCTTTCATGTTCGTCTTTGACCTGAAAGGTAAATACACTCCATGATTTACATGTACTGCAGGCCTGCTGCACACAAAGTGCCTTGCTTCAGAAGTGTAGAATTATGTCTGCTTAGGGCTAAAGCCTTTAATCACGAGTACTGTGCAGCTGCACTTTGCAGCTAACCGTGATCATTGATTACAAAGGTCTGATTATTTTAAACAACGGTAATGATAATCTGAA